TGGCAAACAAACATACTGGAGTAAGATTTACATATTTTGTCCTATTTATTTTACAGAATCCTTACGTTGGTCAATACCAACCGGAAAAGCTATCTGGAATTTCTTTGTAAATAATCTTAAAAGACTTCTTAATCTTCAAAGTTTTGCAACGGGTACATTCATCGTGTGTAACAGTAGTACCTAGTTAAATAAATAGTGACAGTTTAGGTGCAAACCAACAAAATGTGAATTTCAGCTAGTGGAAAAGGTCTATACTTTCTGTGCACTGAATTCAGTCAATAGGTATTTAGTCTTCCAAGTATCAGGAGGCATAATGATTCAGGTATTGCTTTTGTATGCTGTCTTTAGTAGTAAGCATCTGACATAGCAATACATTACAGAAAAATTACTTCATAGAGAGGAATACATTTTGAAAAAGCCGTTGAATTTCTCTGGCATTTCATTTAACATTTTTATTAGTTTATGTTTATTCCCTGTTTCTTTTGTTGCTGGTGGTCAAATGACAAAATTTCCTATTTTCCACTGTTTTTTATAGAGGAACATAGATATTTGTCCTGAGTGTGGAAACTTGAAGCAGAAACACGTCCTTTGTGGCTACTGTTATGCAAAGGTCAAAGCAGAAACTCGACTGATCCGGATAGAAATAGGTAAAAAGGAAGGAGGACCATTTAATGCTCCAACTGTAGAGACTGTCATCCTTTATGATGGAGAAAAGCCCACAGGAAAAGATGAAGGCAAGCGGATCATTGAAAGAGCAAGGAAGCGTCCATCCTGGTTTGCTCAAAATTGATGCCACAGAGCTAATGCTGTCAAAACCAGCTGCTGCAGCAAGAAAGATCAGAATTTTCAAGGATGTTTTTCTTTTTTTGTTTGCTCAACACTGATACAGAAGAGCTGTGGACTTTGGAGAAGCCTGCTTGAATTGCATGTCATGCCATGTGATTTTGGAGTCAGGTGTTGTTTCTGTAGCACACAGTGGGAAGTGCTTCTTGGTGACACATCTTAGCAGTCAACAATTAAAGAGAAACCAGGATCTGTCTTGGGATTGGACATCCCAAGTACGCCGAGTAGTTTGTATGTTATGTTCTATGCTGGTTTTGTAAATAACATTTTTTGAACAAAGGGCAAACATTCACAGATATAAAATAAAGTATGTCGTTTCCCAGGGAAATCTGCTTTCTGGTTTTGGCTGCTGCTCTTTTGAAGGGAAAAAAATGGGAGGAAGTTTCAGAACCAGTATTTAGATACAAAGGAAAGATACAGTTGTGTGGTTATTTCCATGGCTCTTAACAGAATCTGCCTGGGTCTCTCCAGAAGGCTGCTGTTTTGAGATACTTGGCGATACTCCTGGTTCTGAGCAGAATAGTGGTTGCCCTGTAGGCTGTGCGCCTTTTCTGTACTGGACTGAAGGTTAAGTGTTTCTTGCTGTTGTGAGTATGCAAAATAATTTTCTCTCTTAAAGGAATATGGAAAGTCACCTTTTACCCCCAAAGCAAAATAACAAAATTGAAATGTAGTGACTGGAAATCTGTCAATTTGACAAGGACCAAAGCTGATTCTTTGCAGCTTTTGCCATAAAGTAGTCTGGGCTGTCAGTGTGTGTTTGGAAAACCTTGAAGCACAGCAGCAGTGCCTTGGGGTCTGGAGTCTTCTGCAAGGGGGGCACCTCTGCTCTCTGCTGCCCATCAGTAACTCTCCAGTGGACCAGTTAAAGCACCTCACTGTTGGGTTTCCCTTTGAGTGTAACCACGCAGTCACACCCTTACAGGTTAAGATTAAGGTTGTTTTCAATTTTAAGTTGGGATTTCAATATACAAATGGTGCTGTTTGATACTATGACTCAGCAAGTCTAGTAGTTACTTGCTGCCAAAAAAGTGCAAGCTTACCCCTAACCCTGGCTAGTTGTCCCTGTGTTGCTGTGGCATTTGAGTGGATCTGCTCCTGTGCTCACCTGGTTCGGGGAGCTATCCTGACAGGAACTGTTCCCTGGCTTTCTGCAGCTTGATTTTTAGTGGGTACCTTCGTGTAGCTTGGCTTGTGTCAGGGTCAGAAAAGCATCAACGGGGACAGTAGGAATATGAAAGAGGAGGGCACAGGGCCACGCTTTCCAGAAAAGCCTTTATTTGGATGTGGCTGAAGCAATCATGTCTATGTAAGGAGCGGGCTCGTGCCTGCTGTAGTCACAGAATCATAGAATGGCCTAGGCTGGAAGGGACCTTTTAATGCTTCACTTCTGCTTTTCGCACTCTGGAGCCAGTGTTACAAAACGTAACTGGTAGGGACAGATGTTAGTGGCAATGTTACGTGTCCTTCACAGTCTAAGGGAATAATGACAGCTGCAAAGTGTAAATTGATATCATCGATAGTATCCAAGCAAACAACGTTAAGTTCTTTTGGATTTGTCCAACCAGGATTTATTCCAGTCGTATCTGTTTTTTGCTTATTCAGAACCCAAGCCAAATAAGGTGGCAAGCAGGATGCAGAGTGGAAGGCTTACTTTTGACAGAGCTGCATGGAATGAGGCTGACATATTGGAGGTGAGATTAGTGAAGTGATAAGACAGATAGCTTGTCCCGAGGGAAAGGTGTGTATGTATTTTAGGGAGAGGTGGGGGGTTTTGTTGTCCAGATATTGGGCCAGTTACATTAAACTGTTCTAGCTGCTTTTTATATATTTATATTTTTGCTAAAGGTTCTATAGAGGAATAAATTATCCTGGGATGTTGAGAGTCATGGGTTAATTTCTCAGAAACACGTAAGTATTTTTTAAAAAAAAACCCCACCCAACTACTATTTTCCTCTATGAAGATGAGAGAGGATGTGCAGTTTCTGGTAATGGAGTAATAATTATAATTGGCAGTATATTGCATTAGTTTTTTGAATTATAGTATCAATGAAACAATGAAGATGCTTAACAAATAGAGTTCTTGTGAAACATGAGTGAAGTCAGACTGTATCAATAGTAGACATTTTAAGATGCTTGCCAGGTCACAGCTGGGTAATGATGCATTTCACAGCCACACTGCTTATGTGAGTACTGCGTTTGTGCGATCCACACACAAGGAGATGTTTGATAATGTTTTGTAGCAGTTTCTGAGCAAAGCGTGTGGGAAAAGTTGTTAAACGGCCTGGTATTCATAGTTTCTAGATGAAAAACTAGAAACAACTGACAAATATTGAATATTCCTATATGCAATTGTTACAGTACCAGCTAATTTTGCAGGGAAGAAATTCTCTTCAGTGAAAGTCAGCACAGCTTAGTTTGAATGGCTTTCCCTTTGAAAGAAGAGTAAAAGAGAGCTCAGTTTCGTAGCTTTGCTTTATTAACACAGACAGTACAAAGCTCTGTTAAAAATCCTGAATTCCTCTAAAATATGTGACATAGTCTGTTACTGGAAATAAACCTTATTGGTGTGTAATTTTGCAAGAAATATAAATTGGAGCAGTGCTAATATATAAAAATATGCTCTTTGAAACAATGTAAATTCAAACGAACAAAAAGCATGTTGGTTGTTACAAATGCTTCAAAACCCATTTAAAAGCAAAAATTAAGATGCTTCAGGAAATTCAATTTGATACGTTTGGAACCTGCTAGTAGTTGAAAGCAACATTCTTTTTTGTCTGAAAATTTAGTGTTACTACATACATGTTGCATTTGATTCTATTTTTCTTGTATAAGGATTTTATTTAAAAATTATTTTACCTTTTAGTAACAACCAAGTAGATCATGTCATGTCCTAAATTACGTGGATGCAAATTTTAAAACGATTTTACGTCATACAAAGACCTGCAGAGATAGAGGTGATCTCTGGCAGCGATCAGTTATAATATCCATGGAGGATGATAAACCAAGTTTCTCTTTAATCTCCCTTTCAGTAATAAAATTTTAATAAAAGGTTTCTGCAGAGTCCTCATCTTGTCTGTTGAACACACTAAGCTGGCAGTTGATATAAAACATACTTCTTTACAGCACTAGGTGGCAGAGGAGTGTAGCTTTCTGGTAGGTGCAAAACAAAAGCCAGAGGTCCTTTGAGATACGGTCAGTGTCAGATTCAAGAAGTTGGCACCTGGTAAGCAAAAGATCCGCAAAAAGACTACATTTTGCGAATTATGAAGAAAAATGCAATAGTTGTCATCTATGGTAATGCATTGTTCCAACTAACTTTAATTAGATCTATACTGAGAACTAATGCACTGGCTTTTGTGTGTATTTATGCGCTTCTGCTCTTTGCTGGGTGACTTATTTGAAACGGCAGTTGTACCCATCCTTTTTCCCTAACAAGATACTGGAGCTCTTCTTATGCCTCTCACTTACAGATGATTTTCTACGTTGTTTTCTGTGCCTAGTGTATTCAGTTAGTTGACATTTTATTTATGTCACTAGAAAGTCTTGCAGAGAATAGGTCTGGTGGCATTCCAGTGAATTTCAAGGTGTAACTTCCTTGAATTTGTAGAGTCGTAAGGATCAGTGCACAAACAGCAGACATGAAGTGTAAAGAAAAGAAAACCTATGTGATGTTTAAATGCATATTAGTTGCTCAGAAAGGAAAAGAAGATTGTACACTCCATCAAAGATTTAAAACGTTTTAGAACTACGCAAGTGATAAAGGTGCCTATATTTTTAGAACTTACTTGTTAATTAGTATTTTTTAAAGATATTGGCAAAAATCCTTCTTTTACCTCACATGGCTGCATTGTGTAATTTATAGAGTGAAGGAGGTTCAGTATAAATACATGTTATTTCCAGATAATTTACCTAACACTTAACCTTGACAAAGACTTTAAGAATGGGCCAGATGAGGAGAAGATCAGTGAAAGGAATGAGAAGGAAGTTGGGTATGCAGCAGTGATGGAGCTAGTTTTGCCTACTCAATGTATATTTCTGGGAAGTTCTGTTGAAGTCAGTGGACTATAATTCAAGTGTGTTCTGATCCTCCAAATACACAAGCACCTCGCTGTTCCCCTTGGTTTCTTGAAAGAGCACAGACGCCTTTCTATACAAGGTGGTTCTGATGGCGTTATTCCCACTACACAAGCGTGTAGAAATGTTCTGTCTGCCGTGTCCTGGCTATAAGCCTGGTTAATCTTTTAGGTATCCTACACTGGGGACCAGCTCACGAGACTCGAGAGGAGTAGGCACATTAAATGCAGCGTGTGTCATGATGTAGGACGAACGATCCGTCCCTACTTACCCAGCTGACATAGCTTTTGCTGCCGTTCCCAAAGTATCTATCTTAATGCTATTTCTATTCCCATCACACAGGCTCATCGGCTTGTCTAGCACTATGGCTTACAGCTCTATTTTCCATTAGGGTGTAGCTCTAGACCCCATTATGTGAAATACTCTCTGTGGAACTAAGGATTTTGGACAGGCTATTGGAAAGATGTATGTTTCATTTTATAATCTGGGATTAATATTAAATACAAAGAATAATGGCTTTAAAAGGGGCTATACTGAATAGCATAAGGCTCAAAATTGACAGACCAGTCCTGTAGGAAAAGTTTGTTCTAAATCTGTTGAGTTCAGAAGTTCCTACTCATTGGTTTTTTGTCTCCTCCTACTCAGTCGTAATCAGATCAAGCAAAGCGTCTAAGATGTTCTGAAGAATAATATCAAGGTTCGGTCCAGTTAAAGATATAGTATATAATTCTGTCACTCTTAAACAGGATGGTATCTTGATCTTCAAGAAGCCATTGATTTCAGTAGGACTTGTTTTAAAGAAAATTATAATTCCAAGTGACTGAGAGGAAGGCTGTAAAACGTCAAGCTGTTGGGTTACAAAGTCATTTA